CGTAAGATAAATGGGGATAAAGAGAGAATACAAATGACACAGAAAAAGAGGATACGGGGAGAGAGAAGAAAAGAGGGGAGGAGAAACCTAACACGAGAATTCAAAGGCGAGAGTTGAAAAGAGGAATAAGTAAGAACGGGAAGAATAGATAAAAAATATGGAAAGGCAAAATAAGCACGAGACGGGTGAGGAAGGAAACTTAGGCTGAGGGGAGGAGTCCAAAAAATAAAAACACTTACACCAGAAGACTACGATGTAAGGAGGAACCTGCAAACCGGACATCTTTCACCAAAGACCGATGGCAACAACGACACACACACGACAGATACACATAAGAAATAACACAAAAACACCTCACAGTTTGCCGCACGAATGCACTCAGAGGTACTCTTTACCCTCCACGTCTCAACACCACACCCCCCACGCTGCGCTGTAGGGGAGAGCGTCTCAACCAACAATAAGCGGCGGGACAGCAGCACCCGGTACGATCAACCGGCTCCTAGGGAAGAGCGCACCAACACAAGTATAGGAGAAGAAAGAACCTGAACCAGGACTATAGAGGAACCCCTAAAAGCGACGAAACCATATCAAAAGACAAAAAAAGGAGGAAAAGGAACTAAGAAGGAAGAAAGAAAAGGAACAAACCCAACGAAACTAACTGTTAACATCCAGATAGAGAATAAGAGAGCGAAGGACCGAGAACGGTACAGCACGCACCCCCACCGAACTAACAACACACTAATTAGACGGATATGGTCACAACACGGACCGCAAGGAGCAAGAGAAGGATGACTGAGAGCACGAGGGGGATGTGCAAGGTCGAAGGGAAGAATACAGCGGCGAGACAAGGGAGAGAGGCCAGACAACTCCACGGCACTAGACAAAGCAACATAGGCAGGGAAAAAAAAGCGAGGAGGATTGGTAAGGTCAAGGAAGAGTACAACACAGACAGACGACGAGAAAAGCACACACCATGATAAATAACAAGAACCAAAGAAGCAAAAGGGATAGGCGACCGAAAGAGGCGCGTGCAATACATTGACGAGAAGATTTGAAGCACGATGCAACCTGAAAGGAGGAGATAAAGTGAGCAGGAAGAGCGGAGTTGTGATCAGGAAGGAAGAAGTGTCGAATACACAGTAACGTCAGACATAAGAGTATGTTACTATATTGTGAAAGGGCCAGATGCAGCGGCGCAGCATGGCCACTTATTACTTTTGAAAAAAAAGCAGAGCAGAAGTCAGATACAAGAGGCCGTGGCGTAATACCACCGATGCATCAAACTCCTCGGCGAGTCTTTTATTTAGAAAACAAAAAGATCAACAGAGTGGCATTTAGGACATAGGAAGCCGCGTCGCTCCTGCGCAGAGGACAATGGATCAGAGCGGCAAATCCTTCAGAAAGCATCTAAGGTACATGACAGGCAGACCAGAGGCAAAGAGGAACCGTCGTACGACCAATAGCGTGGCCACAGAACATACGGACAGGGCAGGAACTTCTGCACAACACAGTGTCAGAATGACGGCGTTGGATATCGCTCATGTAAACTAACTGCCTACGCTCAAGTAAATCAAAAACCGTAAATTTCAGCTATGTTGCGCATGTTGACGGAGAAACTCCGATAATAATCGAAAGATTAGAGGGGAAGGCGTGTTAGTGGCGAGAATTCGATACGTGTTTTACTACTTCTCGACAGTATAAACGCATATGACTGTTTAATGAGTCCTGAATCTGTATGATTAGTTCAATTGAATAGCTGGTCTCAGATACGGTTTTAATACTAATTCATCGCGACATAGGAGCCTACAAGTGTGGTATTTCAAAAAGAAAATTGGTCAAGAATTAGGGGACAGATTGTAACGCAGCAGGTAGGAGACGGAAGTGTAGCCTGTCGTGTTGCTAATACTTCTTACCCATCGGCATAGGCGTTGCGTTATGGCTCTAGGGCGCCGTGTCCCCCAGAAGCGCGAAACCACTCGCACTATGTCACACCTGGACAGTAGGTGGCGTTATGGGACGGGTTCAGCGCACTAGAAACTGTTCGGAAGCACATCGTCAAACTGATTGAGAAAGACTGGAGGTCGTGTTATCGGAGGTGACGTGTATAAGCATTGGTAAACTGTCCAATCAGTGAAAACAGCAAAAATGACTGTAAATTCACAGATAATGACTTTTATTACAGTTCTATAACTTTTAAAATTCTGATTAAACCTAAGAAAAATCTAATAATAACAGCGCTCTGCTGTAAATTTAAGCCTGATTATTTGTATTATAGCAGAGGTCACCTGTATTTATAGATCATTGCATTGGTTTAACAGTGTAAATATCTTTAAATAAACATTAAAAAGACAATAAATTACATAAGATTAAAGCTAAAAACTGTATTTGAATTATAGAAAATGACTGTATTTTTACAAGTCAGTTATTTTACAGTATTTTTTGGTGCCCAGCTGCAGGAATATTACAGTTTTTTTCAAGTGTAGAAGTTGTACCTGAACACTCAAGCTGCTAGCCTGGTAAATATCCATTGATTTGTTTTCTTTTGCTAAAGTTTAAAAAATAAAATAAAATGTGCAATTTATTTGCACAATTAGGCTTTTAGGTGTGGCCATTAGGGGAACTGAGTAGGTTCCCTGTGGAATGCCTTCATAGAAGTAGTTTTAAGGAAATGTAGGGGTTCTTCTGTGAACCTTTAATGGATGTTTTTGTTTCTTTTTGGTGAGGGACTTATAAGCTTTTTATTAATGGAGCTTTAACGTTCAGCTCAGGTCACATGAGGTTTTACAGAGACTGATTGTGTTTACTCTTTTTAATCCTAATAAATGTTCAGTGGCGCTAAATGAGTCCAAAGGTTCGAATGAGTGTGTGTGTGTATATGAATGTAAGTGTGTGTCTGTATGTTAGTGTGTGTGTTGTGTTTAAGTGAAGAGAGATGCATTGAGATACAGAGCAGAGAGAGAGAGAGAGTAAATATGAATGTCTCTCTCTCTCACACACATAAAAACTCCTGCAGGTTATTTCATCAGGACTCAGACTGACGACTCACTGCTGCCATCAACTGGTCACTGATCGGAAACCTTTATGAACCTTTATAACGTCTCCTGTCTCGTCAGGTTGGTGGTAACAACAACAACAACAACAACAACAACAACAACAACAACAACAACAGATTAAAACATATACAAAACAGAAATTACAATCATGAACCCAAGAGCCCCCGGCCCCGAACCACCCACAAACACACAAAAGTAATAAGATAAAAGCACTAAAATATTAATATAGAATATATATAAACGAAAATGTGTTTATACAGATTTCTTACACTGGGTTTTTATTCTGAAACAATAATAAAAGTTAGTTGCATTACAAGAACCTTTTATATCATTCAATATCTGACTCAGTGACATATTTTATATTATATTATTTTATATTAAAAACTAAACAATGAACCCAAACAGTGAACTCAGTAACTGCAGGCGGTTTGTGTAAAACGAGTGACTTGGATGAATTTTAAGCAGATTATTTCCTGTTCAGGGAACTTTGTATATAGTTTGACCACCAATGAAGCTTTGGTGACCCCTATTTAGGGTCCCGACCCCCAGGTTGAGATCCACTGGCCTACACAGATATAAATGTTAAAGCTTTTGTTTTGAGTTCAGTGATTGAAGCAAATAGAAAGCCCAGGCTATTACGTTTTTTGTTACTACTGATCTTTTATCTGTGTAACCTGAGCACTACAAGTAACCTCCGCCCCGGAACTACAGACAAAAAGTAGCTTTTAGCTATATCTGGTACAATACGTGTACTGTGCATTGTCCCTGATAAATACACATACAATAAAATAAAAATATATATAAGACCTTTAATCAGAAAATATTTTAGTTCTGCTTCATGTATGTATTTTCTTTTTGCATTTTTAGTCTGAATGTTGTGATTATCTTACTTTAAAGCCAGTATGTGTAGAACGCACATGTGACGTCTCATTACTGAGAGCTTTAGCTTTTCTTTAGCTCACTTCAGACAGTTAGTTAGTACCATCTAGTGGCTGGACAGTAGAACTACATCATCTACTCTGGTTTCTCTGGCACTGATTGTGGTTTCTGTGGTTTTATACAAGAAAGGTGCAGCAAATTATCTTAAATCAAACATTCATAGTATGAACTGTGATGTTTTGGTCATAAACAATGTGTAAATATGAACTCATCACTGGAGTGGAAGAAACTAAAGGTTATTGTTATTACTATCAACCGATAGTAATAACCGAAGATATGTTTAAAATCTTAACAGATTAAACCTTAATTGCACAGCATGAGACATGAAACAGACATTTGAGACTCAAATATTGTCTGTCTGATGTTCATCTCCATATTTCTGTTATTCTCTTCTTGTCCCACTAATCTCTCAATCATACAGTTTAACTGCAACTTTCTAAACTGTCAAACTGAGTGAAACTTTATGAAGCCGCAGAGACGTTTCAACACAACATCAGTGGTTTTCTTTTAATCTCGTCAGTTGCAACCACACCGCGCTGATTTGCATTTCCGTTAACGGTTTAAACTGATCTTGGTAAGAAAACAGGTGTACACACTGCAGGGAGGAAGGTGGCCGTGTCTATTAGTGCTTTATAAAGAAACAATCAGAAAATAACATTTTATTTATTTGATTCACTGCTTTGTTCTCTCTGTGGAAGCCTATTTCCACCAGTGAAGAGAAGGATCCTGATTTTTATCAAAATAATGACTTAATATCTCAAAATAAAGAGTAATGTTCTCAATATATTGATTCTCATTATAACAAATTTAAAAAATCCCTATTTTGTTTCGTCACATTGGCGGAAATGGGCTTTCACATTTTTCTCTTTCTCTTTCTCTTTTCAGTTAATCATGAGCTCTCTCGACTATCACAGCTCTCTCTGCATGTAAAGACAAGCAGAAACACAACATGACATGCTGTTATTGCAGTTATAGAGAAATGAAACCAGCTTCGGAGCGTCAGTGTCTTCCACACATCCCCATGAAACGGACGTGAAGCTGAAGGAGCTCCTCTTTTCTCCAGGTGAGCTCTGTAGTTACTTCAGGTGTTATTCAAACAGCACTGTTCTCATTTATAATGAAGTCTTTATGAACATTTAGAGTCATCTATGTTTTATTAGACTAAGGAGCATTTCCATTACACGGCTGGTTGGAACTGTGCCAGGTTGCCATTTGTGTAGAATTTGTCAGTATTTGCTCTTTTTCCTTCTTTTTAAAAACCACATTTAAAAACCACTTTCCAAATCATTTCAGTCAGTCAGTCAGGATATATTTGTCTAGACCTACTAAGGTCAGGTTACACCAAGGATGCAGACTTAAAAGGCTTCTTTTTTGACAGAGTCCGTGCTTCCTTGTTCTATTAGGCAATTTCACTATTTGGGTTTATTGTACAGTTTTGAATATAATATGAAATATCCATAAAATATGTCACTTACTCAGTTTAATAAACAATTAACAAAGCAGATTGGCAACTAGTGAACTACAATAGCATGAAAAGCACAAGGAGAGGAAGTTAGACAGTGACATTACAGGCGTTATTAAAGTAACCCACTTCAGTTAACATGCACACTTCCTCTAGCTCTCTCTCTCTCTGTATGAGTAATAGGACGAGTTGCACAACCGTAGTTTGCTATGGTGCACAGGACTTTACGAGGACACGTGAGAGAGGATTTGTGTTTGTTTTATTCATAAAGCTGCTGTGTTTTGTTCACCAGCCTCAGTTACAGTATGTCTTAGATAGTCTCATAAGTGATATTTTCTGACCTATTATTGAAATAAAGTCTTCATATTTTGTTAAACAGACACTAAAATAAGTGGTAACCCTGGATAATTTATTTCTTATTACTGGTCAATTGAAGATATAAATCCAGCCCTGTAAATGTGTTTCATGGCCAAAGGTTATGTGGAATTTCTTGAACTCAAAGTTTTTTATCTAACCAAGAAAATCTAGTTAATTCCCAGACGACAGCTTTGAGGAGACAGATAATGTACATTGTGATGGTTTTCAATAAATGGAAATAGTTATTTTCAGTCTCTGATATTGCTATTTATGAGGTAGTCCTAAAGCTCTACCACATATTGTACCTTCACGATGCTTATAACGGTCAGTTTTTCTTAAAACTTTCCAAGAGGTGTTAATTGAACAATTGTAGTTAGTGGTGATGTGTTTCTGAGCTGCTGTAATGGATTGCATTAGATTTTAAGGATCTATAATAGAGGTGTAGAGGTGAGTACTTTCACTGACTTAGTATCTCAAAAGAATCAAAAACTTTAAAACAAAAGAAACGTTATCCAAATAATAGAGGTGTAGAAATAATTACATTTTGAAGTTAAGTTTAAAGAAAAGATTTTCTTTCAGTATCTTCTAGATCTTGACTGAGATGGCGACAGATGAGGAGGTCCTCTTACGAACTTTCGAAAAACTGAGTGCCGAGGACTTTGAAACATTAAAGTGGTTGCTGGGCAAAGAGGGCAGCCTAAAGGACCTCCCAGCAATCCCAGCAAGTCAACTGGAGAACGCTAAAAGGAGGGACACAGTGGATCTGATAGTGCACACCTACATTCCAGACCATATTAAAGTGGCCAAAAACGTTTTAATAAAGATAAACAGGAATGATTTAGTGAAGAATTTATCAATCATCACATCAGGACCTATAGGTAAGTTGGTAAAAAGACAGAAAAAAACTTAAAAAACGTATTATTATAATAAACTTTATCTAATTTGAGTCATCTCTTTTTATTATTAATTTAGAGAATATTGCTGAGTGTCAAGTGATTTGTAAACTCAAATCCAATCTGAAGAAGAAATTTCAGTGTGTG